GCACCCCCACTGGGCTCCTCCTGACCCCATCCAGGTCTTCTCCTCACCTTCCTCTTCTCCTTCTTCTCCTCCTTCTTGGTGAAGACCGTGTGGACCCACCAGATCTTGGTGAACATGCTCCCATAGGCCAGGCTGAAGCCGAGACCCAGGAGCCACAGTCGTGCCTATGGAGGGGGCAGGAGGTGGGATGGGGTGGTTGGACCTCCCCATCCATGTGGACCCACCACCAATGGAGGGAAAGCACCACCCATGGACCTCCATCGGCCATCTCCTTTGGATGCCCCCATCTGTGTCCCCTCCATCTCCATCCACTGGCGGCATCTCCAATGTTCCTCCTCTGGTTGTCCCCATCCCCTGGTGGCATCTCCAACACTTCCCACCCCCCCCACCCCTGTCCATCCCCACCTTGTGGTTGTCTCCATGTGCTTGGACCCACAACTGAGACCCCACCACGTCCATACCTGGCACACGAAGGGGAACAGCCCTGGTCCAATGTGGTAGCCATCAAGTCCAAGGGGGTAGACAGCGGCCAAGGCCAAGGTGCACCCAACGGCCGTCATGTTGTTCAGGTATGGTTGGGAGTTCTGGATGTACCTGTAGGAGAAGCCTTGGTGGCACCTGAAGGTCCTACAGGGCTATCTCCAGCCTTGGTGGCACCTGAAGGTCCTACAGGGCCATCTCCAGCCTTGGTGGCACCTGAAGGTCCTACAGGGCCATCTACAGCCTTGGTGGTACCTGAAGGTTCTACAGGGCCATCTCCAGCCTTGGTGGCACCTGAAGGTCCTACAATGAAAACCATGGACACCACTGACCTGACATGTCCATTGTAGATGTTGAAGGCCAAGCAGATGATGGCCAAGAGGATGCCCAATGAAGCCAACACGGAGACGGAGATGAAGAGCTTCTGGGACAGGAAGCGGAAGGTGGTGATGACTTTGGTGTAGTCAGCTGGTGGGGTACCTCCTGTAGACCCCATATCACCATTAGGTGACCATGGGAAGGGTCTTCTCCACCCATCCCCATAGCAGGAACCTGCCGAAAACCCGTTGGTGGCCCCACTCACCAATCCACTTGTCGTTGTTGTACCAGGACAGGTTGTCCTTGGTGCTGTCGTAGTAACCGATCTTCTTGTAGACACCTCCTATGGTAGAAGAAGACACGGGCCAGGTTGGCAGGAGGTCCCTCATCCATCACCCCTCACACCCCAGAGGGTCACAACGGGGCTGGAGGAACCTCTGAGGGTCACCATCCACGTAGCGTTTGGATGGAGACTCCATCATCTCTTTGGGCACCAGCACCATGGAGAAGTGGTTCTTCATGGTCAGCTGGAGCTCCAGTCCCAGCAGCACCATGGACCTTCACTGGGTGCTCCCCATTAGACCTCTTCTACTGGGGAGACCAGAACTGGCCCCATCTCTCACTGGGGATCAGCAGAGGGTCATGGTCATCTCCTCGACCTTCTCCACTGCTATTTAGCTTAGGACCGTGGTCATTGTGGTCATCGTGGTCATCTTCTGGTTGACCCCCAGCTTGTCCCAGTGCCTGGAGCTGCTCCTGAAGCTCTTCCCTTTGTTGAACCTCATGGGGTTCCTCACACTTTGCTTCTCCAGCCCATCAGGAAGGACCTTGATCTGGAGACCTGGAGCCACCACCGGGCTCCCCAGTCCAAGAGACCTACTGGAGAGCATCCAATGAAGAGCCATGATGATGATGATGACGATGGGTCTGGAGCTCCATAGGACCATCAAGAACCACTTCTTCATAGTGGAGGAGACCAAGCATGGCCAGGAGGTGTCCAAAGAGGTGCCACAAAAGGTCTCCACTGCTCCATCACTCAGTTCATTGTTCGTGTTGAACACGACTGGTCCCACCATTGACCCTTGAGGTTCTCCATTGGCGATTGGCCTCCAAATAG